TTGTTTCTCGCATCAGGAGTCAAAGCTTTCTAAATTCCTGACCCTTGCAGCTGTCTTAGCATAAGATTTAATAAGCATTTATACATTTCAATGACTAAATTGCATAGCTAAAAGTCTCTGAGTAGCCACTGGAAACTGTTAAGGAATTGCAGCTTGGTAGTTATTTGTTAATAGTTATTAATGAGAACTGCATCCCAAGGATAATGTAGGCCACTACTAAAGAAAATTGAAGGCAACGAAAATGGATTCTGGTTCTGAAAGGTCAGCTTAGTTATTGTAGATAACTCAAGTGAAGTCCTCAACCGAAAGACCCTAGCTGTCATAGTAACAACTGCATTACAAAGTAATGTCTCTCATTATGTCATATGCTTCTTTCTTTGAAAAGACATGATAAAACTCAAAAAAAAAAAATAATGGTGAACAGCAGCAAAAGAACATTTTTACTGATTTTCCCCCAATTCTTACTTATCATCTCACCACTTAATCCAGCGGGGTACTTGACACCACTCAGCGGCAAAGTCCCTGCCTACTCCCATGCCATCACTTAGAAATATGGAACTTATCTGATTGATGGACCCTAGTAGTCTCCTATGTTACTATAAGGAGAATAACATAGGCAAGGCTAGGGGAAGAAATGTTCTCTCACACTTCTTTCATTGTCTATCTCAATGAAAATTTTTTGACCTAATAACTTGTGCTTTCTATAACTGAGGTTTTTTAATATTTATTTATTTATTATGTATACAATATTCTGTCTGTGTGTATATGCCTTCAGACCAGAAGAGGGCACCAGACCCCATTACAGAGGGATGTGAGCCACCATATTGTTGCTGGGAATTGAACTCAGGACCTTTGGAAGAACAGGCAATGCTCTTAACCTCTGAGCCATCTCTCCAGCCCCTATAACTGAGTTTTTAATAGAAAAAAAGAATTCCAAGATAATAATAATTGAATGCATTTTAAATCACAAAATGTCTTTAGCATAAGTCGCGATATTCCACATGATGGCCACAGCAGAAGCCTGCCCCCAAGTCTTGCACCCTGTCTACATTCACTACTACACCATGTTTTCTATGTATCTAGGATATTCCACTTTCAAAGTCTTGGCAGGCATGTTTCTTCTTCTTGCAAAAGTTGCCCAAGCACCCCATTTTTCTTTGGTTTTCTTAATATCAGCATTAAGAATAATTTAGCCATGGTCGACCCTAAAGAAAACAATGCTTTGCTACACCTTCAGATTCCCTAATCTGCTAAAAACAAGTGTAGCAGTTTCAGTGGTCAAATTAAAAATCTTGGGAGAGGTATCCCCAGTGAAAGAATTAACTCGGTCAAAAGGCCAATAGGTTTGTCTGTGAGGTGATTTTTGGATTACTGATTGATGAAGGAGGACCCAAAATATTGTGGGTGGTGTGATACCTAGGCAGGTGGGCCTGGATTGTGTAAAAATAAAATAGGTGACCCTGAATGAAAACTAATAAGCAGTTTCCCAGTAGTCTCTGCTTAAGTTCCTGCCTCCAGGTTCTTGCCTTGAGTTCCTGCTTTGTCTTCCCTCAGTGATGGAATGCAACTTATAAGACAAATAAATCTTTTCTGCTCCCAAGTTGTCTTTAAACATGGCTTTTGTGACAGCAAAATCAAAATGAGATATTGTATCTTTTTTTCCTAATTCTTATCACAGTCAAACATATATATTTTGTTTTTCTAGTCATGGTTTCTTTGTGTGTAGCCCTAGCTGTTCTGGAACTCATTCTGTAGACCAGACTGGGTGTAAATTCTCAAAGCTCCACCTGCCTCTGCCTCCTAAGAGATGGGTTAAAAGGCATGTACCACCAATGCTGAGCGAACATTATATATCTTAAGCATGCCTCTTGCTTTAAGCCTTTGAGAAATACAGAGGGTATAGAATAGCTACTTACAACTCTAAAGATTTTTAAAGTAATCTGTTCCCAGTAAAACTGGCTAATACATGAAAGAGTATGTGAATTTCATTTGAAGTTAGAATCAAGTAATGATAAATTTAAATACAATCCAGTCATTTCCCTATAATTTATGATTGAAGATGGAAGGTCTACAATGTACTCAACAGTTGCATTAGACAATGAGCAATAATTAGACTTTCCCCGGTGTTATCTACAGGGCATGGGATAAGAAAGCATGGGTGTCCTAAGCCTGAATCCAGTTTGTGACCTTTTCTAGCTGTGTAATGTTGGGCATCTGCTTTGAGATACTAAATTCAGTTCATCCTTCTGTAAATGGTAACTGATAAACCATAACCAAATGGCAGCCGCCAGTTTTACTTCTTCCTGGCATCCCAGCTGTGTTGTACGCAGATATGATTCTACGTGGGTAATTTTTTTTCCTGAGGTTTCTCAGGGGAGAAAATTTAAAAAAAAACTATTCTAGGCCCATACTACTTGGATGCAGAAAGATTGATAATTTGCACTTACAAAAATCAATAAAACTCACACCTATAAAAAGTATTAAAGATTATATGTACTCACATTTCTATTATTTATCAAATGCTAGTCTTTATTTTCATTGTGCTTTTAACAGCTTCTTTGTTCCAGACATTTTAGTTCAATTATCCCCATTCCTCACAGCAAAACAACGCAGCATAAATTGTTAGTTTCCTGAGATTTAGTTTGTCAAAGCACAGGTCCAACATTGTAGAACTAGACAAGGTCAAGAACAAAATTAAGACCAAGGACACCATGCATTCTTTCTTATCCTATACCCTGGAGATAACAGTGGAAAAGTCTAATAACTGCTCATATAATTGAGCTCATGTCCTTTTATGCTATTTTCCATGGCCATGAACTGGGTTGCAGGCCAATCTCTACCACTCCAGAGAAACAAGGTGACAGTGACATGAAGTGCTAGGACAGGGTGTCGTGAATGGAACGGAACCTGATTTGACTAGCAGCAAAAATATACCAATCCAGGCCCGGCAATGATGAAAAGCATTCCTCTGCCATGTGGAGTGCATATGATCCCTCTACTAAAAAAGACTCGGGAAAGAATGGCAAAACAGAAGCCACAACTAAAACTATTTGTATTCATTTATTAGTTTTGCTAGAACCCAGAATATTAGAAAATCTTACTACTATAATTAATTGGTGTATGTTTTTTTGGCTTTGGGAAGGCATATATACATTTGAAAGGAAGAAACAGTCTATAGTAAGAAGTGAAGAGCAAGTCTTTTAATTTTTCTTTCATCTGATGTTAATTTACGTAGAAACTAATACCATTTATGTCTGCTCAGAGCTTCAAGTTGTAGCAAGGCTTTCTTTTTAACCAAAAACAGTCTTTCCTGTGATCTTGGTCAGAAAGCAATCATTTCAGGGCTTAGGATCATTTTGTCAGAGAAAGACAATGTGCTGACAAGTCCTTCTTCCAGACGCATGTTTATTTGCTAATTATGTAAAAACTATTATGATTTAAGGCATTAACCTTTCTATAGCTGTTGCAAATTAAACTACATTAGAAGACAAGGCTATGAGAAATGTCTATGTGAAGGTGTTATCACACAGGAAGGGAATTGTTGAATGTTGAAGAAGAAAACGTTTGAGTAAGGAGAATCTTTATCAAAGGAATATGGGTCATTTTTATGTACGAGTAAGATATAATTAAATTCCTATGTCTTTTATAAATGAAAAATGCAATTTCTTTGTTACTGATCACCTACAAACCACAGACAACAGTGCTTGAGAAATACAGAATCTTTAAAAGCTGACGGTTTAAAAGAAATTCCCCTTGAATACAGTAAGTCCAGTCGTGACAACTTAAAGGTCTAATTCATAAAAACATTATTAAAGTAGATTATTTATACCTACCTTTTGTGGACTTCTGTTCTTATTCATGAGTCTCACTATATAGGGCTATAATCACAGGCAGGGTGTATAATGGAAACATTAATTCAATCTGAACTTAGGCAAGAATACTGTATTGCCCTAATAAAACCTCAGCTATATTAATCCAATGCATGGGATTCACTGCACAAGAACATTCTCTTTTAAAAACTTGAAAAGAACAGCTTACAACTTGCGGCCTCAAGTATATTTTTGAACTGAGAAGTTCAGTGCACCATTGACTAATTGGTGAAGACTTCCTAATGAAATGTTTAATCCTCCACAGTAGGTAACATAGATTCAGATACTAACTTGGTACTGTGGCATTATTAGTATGGTCATAGAAATGTTTGACAGTCTTCAGATTTAATTAGCCCCCTTTCCAAATCATGTCAGCTGATGATATTTAGCAAATGTCTTTTTGATTACTTGGCATTTTTATTAACTTAACAAGTTGGTAAATGTCCTGCTTTATATAATTTCTCTCAGAGAAGAAACCAAAAGTAATAATACTTTAAAATATCTTTATTCAAAATTTTAAATACCCTTTGTTTATGCTTAAACCTCATGGAAAAGGCAAAGTAAATTTGAGTTGCTCTATCTCTAACTCTAGAATGATAAAAATTTACTCTCTCAACTCTCTCCTTCAGACTGAGCAAGCTGCAGAAGTACTCTGTAGACACACACATTTAGACAGAGTGTGAAGGTGTCTCCTTACAATGCTAGATTATCTCAGGGAGCGATGGAATGGAGCTCTTCATAAATTATGCTTCCAACACTAACACAAAGTGTGAGCTTTGATTTTGTAGGTTACAAAGCTCTATACCTAAGGGGATGAATTAATTCCTATATTTAATGAGATGCAGTTCTTAGTAGACAGCTTAAGCATTCATCTTAGAATTGCATATTGAATATCCTCACTCAATTCCGGAAAAATCTCATAACAATTCTGGCTAATGAAAAACTTAGAACACTTTGATTCCTGAAAATGACAGAGAAAGGTATTTCAAATATAGAATAAATAATTCTACCTACTGAAGACAAAAATCAGTTTCCAATGTTAAGCAATCTCCAAGCCTAAAATCACAGAACATTCCATTTAGCAACTGGATACAAGCACTTTGTTTTGTTTTTTGAAATAACTAGACTTACCAGAAAAGTGTCCAATAAAGTCCACGTTTGAGCTGGGTAGCCCTTGTCGTTCCCTCTTGTACCCAGTCCCACTGAGGCATCTTCAGATATCTGAGACAGGTGTCTTCCAAGAAACTTAATGGAACCACACATAATTTTGCTTGGCATTCAGACTTACTACGATATGAAGGTAGCCGAGCACTCTGCTTCATGCAACTGCTCAGAACGGGTAGTGAAGGTTATAACCCTGCTACACTGCCACACAAATGTCATCAGCTCTCATATCTGTTGACAAGAGCCAGAGCCAGGGGAAAAACAAACACAGAATGACCTAATACAGTGGTTCTCATCCTTCCTAAAGCTGCAAACCTTTTACTATAGCTTCTCATGATGTGACAACCCCACAAGCATAAAATTATTTTCATTACTACTTCATAACTGCAATTTTGCTACTTTTTTGAATTGTAAAGTGAATATCTGATATATGTGGGTTTTGATGGTTTTAGAGCACCTCTGAGAAAAAGTCGTTTATCCCCACTGGGTCACAACAGGCTGAGAACCACTGGTCTGACATATATTTTTTAATAAAATAAGTATATAAAGAGAACAATAAATTTACCTAAAGCCCAACAAAACACTGTGTGCGGTACTGATGGCACTGTCTCACTTTGAGAGGGCTGCTGCTGTTTTCTAAATGGGGAAAAGGTGGTATCAGTCTGAGGCTTGCTGGGGAGTCCCAAGAGAAAAACCCACTCAGTAGCAGCCCTTCCAGCTGCTTCCTTCCTTACTGACATTCCTTAATTTCTTCTCTAGAACAACAAGATGAGACGAAGATAACGGAGAAGAAAGTTATTTCTGAAACAAAAAAGAAAGGTAAGGAACAGCAAGGCTATCTAAAACCTAAATCAAATAGTTGTAATCTGTAGTCTTGCTGGCAAAGCTATTGTTTTCTAAGAAAGAGATTCACTTGATGGTCATTGTTATTGAAAACATCCAGGAGTTTTAAATATTCCAAATAAACTTGGAATTGAGGAAACTATTTAAAACCCATTATTTGAATATTCATTTAAAGATAGGATTTCTCTGTTTAGCTCAGGCTGGTGTGATACTCATGAGCCCTCTACCTCAGAGACCGGAAATTCCAAGTAACACATCACCTGACCCTAAACGCATTTGTTAAAGATGTGGTATTTTTCTTTTCATTATATATATAAAATGTGTGCATACGGATAGATACATATTTGCATATAATATGTAAACACATATGCATACACATGTGTATGATATTTAAATATATACAAATGTGTGTATATAAATGCATACATACACACATATAATGCATGTATATGTGTGTGCATGTTTATAATGAAGATTATTATTTAATTCATTCAATTTTATTAAAAGTAACCAACAAGAGGTCAAATTATTTAAAGAGTGAGAAGAACTCATGGAATGGGTTGATATGTCATTCCTCTTCTCTTTTTTTTACATGTTTGTTAGTATTTATTTGATATTACCAAATGATTTCCAGGGATTTCAAAATTTCTAATATTCTTCCATGACTGAATAGCTCAAGGCTAGTCTTTTAAAAATATTTTAGGAAATTATTCAATAATTCTGCCGTAATAAATAGTACATTGAATGTTTCTGACTGTGTTAAAGATTGTTTACCTTATCAAGCTATGCCCCTTCACAGACAGACAGCGTCCCTAAGCTCTGCATGTGTTTGGAAGGTACGAGCATGCCCATTTATAGCAGGGCTTACAGCTTTGACTCACAATTCTCTCTGTAAAGTGAACTGGTGCCTAAATGGCAGTCGTGTATACTCTGAAACATATATGAATGAATTAGTTAGAGGCTGATGACTTCCTTATTTTACAGCAGAAAAAGGAGAAGCCAAAAAGAAAAGCGAGAAGGAAACTGCCATTGATGTGAAAAGCAAAGGTATTATTCTTTCTCTGCTTCCTTCCATTGTCTTTCGAGATTCAGTCCATCGATGATCTTGGTGCATCCATATGCAACTCAGATCTAGGTAACTCACGTCTATTCATGTGTAGCCTCTCAATTTAAAATGTGGTAGAAAGTTAAATACACATGAAGAACATTGTTCCAGGCTACTGCCTTATGTGGAAGTGATCAAAACTCCATTTGAAATTTAACTTTGCTTAAAAGGAAAGCAGGGGAGTGAGTAAGAGCTGAAAGGAAGAATGGCTTCCATGTGTGTACACTAGTCCCACCCAAAGAAGGATAAACCTTCTTACATGTTTATGGGGATTAACTTGTTGAAGCAAGGTGCCAAAGAAGGTTAATCTACTCTCCCTATGAAAGTGGGAGATGTGGGCACTATTGATGTGGGAGTCCCCTCTGTGTGCTGTGATTACCATTAATGACTAAAGAAACTGCTTTGGACCTATAGCAAGGCAGAACTTATGTAGGCAGGGAAAGCTAAATGGAATGCTGGGAGAAAGGAAGCACAGTAGGAGACACCATGTATCCGCGGCCAGAGGTACTGAAACTTCATGGGTAGGCCACAACCTCGTGGTGATACACAGATTAATTAATGGAGATGGGTTAAATTAAGATGTAAGAGTTAGCCAATAAAAAGCTAGAACTAATGGCCCAAGCAGTGATTTAATTAGTACAGGTTCTATGTGATTATTTCGGTTCTGGGTGGCCGGTCCAAACAAACAGCCCTCCTCCTACACACTGTCTTTCATTTTGTTTATATTTCTAAAAGATCACTCTCATATATTTGAATAGAGTATAGTCCTGGGTGAGTAACCATAGAAGTGAGCTTTCCAAAGGTTCATGCTCAACAGGAACAAATAAATAATATGTAATACCTAACTGTGTGAAACAAGTGTCCAAGGTAAATGAAAATAAGCATCTAAGGTCATCAGGATTTACCTAAAGTCAGTCCAGTTGCTCATCATCTTGTTGAAGAGCGGGGGGATGTCATAGGATCTACTTGAGGATAACAGTATGTGTGTGAAAAAACCATGAAGTTCAGAGAAAGAGTAGAGGTCTTCATTAAGAGATTGATGACAACTCTTTCACAGCTTACATTCCTACTTTAGTTTTGATTTTATGTTCATATAAACTTAAGCACTGGTTTCCACTCATGTAGGGCATACATATATATGGAATGTTGTCATCTCAAGTATTATATTTTAGTGATAAATATTTTCATTCCAAATATTCCCTCTACTTGTGTCAGTGATGGTTGAAATTCTGCTTAGAACTACTCCATTCTGTTGAGTTATGTAGGAATCACAATGACTCCAAATGCAAACATCCCATGGCCTATGCGATGGGCTAAAAACCAAATTTTTATCAGTTATTCATAATGCAAACTAAATGAGATTTCTGGATCTTCCTGGTATAACAGTAAACTGAAATCAATTCTCTCAAAATTTAGGTAATAATGATCTTTAAGTGAGGAGGTAGACAAAGAGAGGTTCAAGGCGGCTACATAGTCGGGTGAGGCCACACAAGACAGGATGCCAGTAGTAAAACCCATCCAGTCTCAGGGAGGAATAGAAAATATAGCTTATGTGGAAGGGAAAGGTGGTAGTGAAAGGACATAAAAAGGAGATTATAGTATGACAAACTAAATAATGACAAATGTGAGTGGAAAATAGGAATGGAAGAATATTCTTCTACAGAGGGAAATGTATAACATCAAGGGATACCTACGGTTTACACAACAAGCAGGGAGGGAAACCCGGGCTTCAGTGGGCCTCAGAGTTGAGGGCCAATGACTGTAAACTGAACACCTTTACCAAGGGAGCACCTGAATCAGAGTTTATCACATTGTTTGATTTACCTTATTTTATGTTTAAAATTAATTATCTGATGACATGTATATATTTTAGCATAAAAAGAGAAGGTGAATTTTTTCTTATACCAAAAAAACTGATTTATTAGGTCAATGGATAGTTGTAGTAGGACTGGATGTATGGTACAGATAGATGATGTACTGCTCCCTGGTCATCACTTTGGTAGAAGCTCCTGGGCTCTATTCCTGAAAGAATTTGTCAAGGAAAACCGGATAAAATCTAAGAGCTCAGGGTCAGCTGAGTCAGTGTGAGTCTGTGTGTGCGTGTGTATGTGTGAGTGAGTGTGTGTGTGTGTGAGAGAGAGAGAGAGAGAGAGAGAGAGAGAGAGAGAGAGAGAGCTATACCTCCTCTTTGTATGTTTCTTATTTCAATTTAGTTATACTTTAAAGCTGGAAGCCAAAATATGTGTGTGTACGAGAAGTCGTGAAAAAATCTGAAACTTCATGATGTGAACATCTATGACTTTATTGTCACAGTCATATCAAGGTGAAGTTATTTATCACTGGGGACAACTGTTTCTGGCAATTTCTTTTCATTCAAGGCCAGGACCACTGATGTAGAAGCAAAACTGGGCCACTGCTTAGCACATGTAGGAAGGGCTGTTCAGATATTCAGATGGTATTGTAAAACATATTCACTTTTCTGAATCCATTTTTCCGTTTACGACTTTCAGTTTTATTTTGATCATAAAAAATACCACTGGTCTTATAAATTCATCAAACTTTGATGGAAATGCATATTACTTGATACTGTGTTTAAAAGTCTTTGACGTTCAAATATTAAATTTTTAATGGTGTGTTTAGGAGGTTGTATTTGTGTAGGGAAAAAGAGGAGAGTTCAATTACTTTCTAGATTAATATTTCCTTTTGGAAGTTATTAATAGTTTAAAAATTCCAGAATTTGAAAGTAGTTTTGCAACATTCAGTCTTATGCTTCTTAGCATGGTAGAAATATTATGGGGCTAATAAAATGAAGAATAACTTGAATTGTTAAATAACTGTCGCTCTTGGCTTTTTATCGCTGTAATGATCATGTGACATAAAGAAGAAAGGAAAGTTTTATTTTGGCTGATGTTTTCAGAGGTTTCAACCCACCAAGGGGTAAGGCCAGAAAGACCAGATCTGTATAACCCCTGAAACTAGGAAACACTGACAGAAAAATGAGTGTGACCGCTAGCTTTCTTCTCTTTTCTTTTATAAGCACTGTGGAATAGTGTCACCCTCATTTTGGGCAGCAAGTTTTCCTTTCTTAGTTATTCTATTCTGGAAATACTATAGCAGAAACACCTAGATATTCATTATTCTCCCAAGTGTTTCTCAAACTAATTAAGTTGAAAATCCACCTTAATTATTCTAAGTACACAGGTCATTTAT